TCGCCAGTGAATTCCGTTTAAACTCAACGTAAGGACAAACAAAAGTCTGTATACAGAGAGAGTTTTTAATTTCAAAAGGGCAAAGATTGAAAAAATTCACAAATTTCTTCAGACTTTCCCCCTAGGTGGGGAACATAACCCGGAAGAGAGGATTTCCATAACTCAGAGGTGCAAAAATTACCCCAAACCGTGTTCAGGGCGGGGAGCCTGCCCCCAAAAGCAGAGGGATGCCTCACCCGCGCGGCGCCCGACAGAGCAGTCTGGGGTAGGTCTGAGCTCAAACTGCAGTAACAGGAGACAGGCTGCAAGTTACGCCGGAGGGTCAGCCCTAAATCACAGTGCGGGGTCAACGCGAGGGGCTCAGCGGTGGATATGGGGGTCCAAATGAAGGCTGGAGGGATGAGCCAGCAGGGCTGGGGCACAGCTGGAGGAGAGGGGACGGCTCGTTTCAAGTTTCAGGGAACAGCAGGTGGGGTGAGGTCAGGGTGGGAATGGGGACGCTTTGGGGTGCGGAGCAGCAAAGAGCAGAGATCAGGGCAAGAGCAGCCGAAGCCCAGCCAAGTCTGTGCCAAAAAGGGGCCCGGCATCAGCCCTGGCGCCCCATGCCGTGGTCAGACCTTGGCGGCCGGGCAGGCACACGGCCGAGGGCGAGTCTGAGCGCCTCCGGCCTGAAGAAGCGAGGGCCTCGCCTCGGGCTTGGGCGCCATGCTGCGCCAGCACGGCCCCAGCTGCAGCAACCAGACCTGGGCGTCTCCTCCGTGGCCCCTTCCTCTTCGTAAGGCACGGCAGGGGCTCGGGTCCCATGTTGGCACGCACCGCCCTCAGCGCGACATCATCCGCACAAACTCTGCCAGCAGGAGAATACACACAGAACATCCCCAATATTCCCAGGGATATTCCCAGCCCCCTCCCTGGCCCCTACCTTCGAAGTCCACCAGACCATCCCCGTTGAGATCCACATCCTTGAGGATCTCGTCCACCTCCCGGTAGTTGAGCTGCTGCCCCAGCAGCTTGCGCATGGCCTCCCGCAGCTCTGCCATGCTGATCTGCCCGTCCCCGTTGGTGTCAAACTGCACGGCAAGCACCCATCGGTAATGGCTGGCCCTTGGCGGCT